GGTGGCAGGAATTACTGGGGACATGGGGTAACTCCAGCCCTCTCATCAATACTCTTACCTCAGCAGATGAGAAATTAGAACAGCTGGATGGGATTTAGGATGAAGGAAGGAAGGAAAAGTATTTACATGGGCTGAAGAGATTGTGTGCTCGCAGAACACTGGCTTGCAGCCAGCTAAGCTTCCATGATGGTGTACCCCTGTCCCTCAGCCCAGCTCACTTATTTAGCAGGGTACCCCGACCCCCAGTGGAACATTTTTAGGGGTGCATCAGGAGGCGTGGACAAGGAAGCTGCTTTCTGCCAGAACTGTTACTTGCACTTAATGTTGGATTGGACCTTCTGGGTTTCCAACTACAAGGATGATGGGGCTGCAATGGACCTGTCTGGTCTCTTGACTTTGTACACCATACTTTAGGGGAGTTGTAGGTGTGTGAAGCCTTTGTTTCAGCCTGTCTTGGAAAAAATGTGCGGTATAGGAGGACATTTGAAAACTACCTGTTTTGATTTGTTTCCGACTTCTGAAACTGTTTGTCCATCACCAGAAACCAATGCAGCTTTGTAACATTTGCATGTTTGGTGGTGTTGTTTTTGGCAGGCAGCGGAAGTGAAATCCAGTTTCTGTCAGAAGCTCAAGATGACCCTCAGAAAAGGAAGCCTGACATCAGGAAAGCCAAGTTACTACTTGGTTGGGAACCTGTGGTATGTAATTCTAGAGTTAACAGTGTTGCGTGCAAGTGTTTTTGAAAGGCAACACTGTCAAGAAATGAATAATGCTCTGTGTTCCTTGCTGTGCAGGGCAAATCTAATGAATTTCCTTCCGTGTTGTGCTACCTCCTTTTGGGAAGAGTTCTTCTCCACCCCCACCCACCCCAAAAAATCAATATTGCTTCTGCTCCTTGATAGATAATAGCCACACTTTCTGGTATTCATCTTTAAAACAAACAGCTAAGCTAGTTAAACCTAGAGCAAATAAGCAGGGGCCCTCGAGAGCGAAAGTGATTTTAACAAAGGCAGTGAAGGAAAATGTGTGTTGGTGGATCTGACTCTGCTCCCATTGAAACCAGTTTTATTGAACAGTAGGTCATTATAGAGTGGTAATGATTAATTGTGCTTTCTGCCTTTCCGATGGAGATGCCTTGAGAATCCTTAAGATCCATTTTCTTAGCAGTAGCACTGCTAGTAGGAAAGCAGAATGTTTTTTGTGTGTGTGTCTGCATGCAGGTTTGAAATTAAGCCTGTGTGGAGCTCTGCTATTCCCCCCGCCCCTAGAAGCTAGTTAGTTTTGTACTATATAGTTCACTGGGGAGTAAACACTAGAGGTGTGCAACAAATACCTGTCCGCCTTAGTTCAGACACATTCTTACATGTATAATTTATCATCGCTGTGTTTTTGATTTTTTTCAGAAAGCTTTCGTAGGTTGTACCCCACTCTGGTGTTGATTTAATGAAGAGCAGGTTATAAATTACCTAAATAAAATAATAAAAGGGAGGTAGTTCAGTGGTGCATTCTGTACACAAATAATGCCCAGTAAGGTTTACTTCTGAGTTTTAGCTTGCGGCTAACTTGTTTCTAGGCTGCGTATTTTGTAAGTAGGCAGAAGAAAGAGAAAAGTATTGGAGGAAGAGACTGAGAATTCCTTGTTCAGAATAGATAATTGCTGCAATCCTAGCTTCAGTTTATTCAAGTGAGTAACAGTCCAAAAATTCTGAGGGCGCTTGATTATTCATTTTGTCAGCCGCATTTTTCATTATCTATGAGCAAGTGTCCCTGCGACATAGATCATTGGAAATGGCAGGACGTAGACTGGATCTGCTGAAAGGTGATAAACAGAGGTACAAAAATATGGCGAAGTTGGGCATTCCACGTATTATGCCCTCAAAACCCACCAGTTCTCCTCAGGGAGAACTTTGGGAACCCAACTTACCATCTTCCAGGTAGCTTTACAAATTCCTATAGGAACTCTTCACCCCTGCCTTAAGCTATTGGAAGAGGCGGTGCCTGGAGACTGTGATACTTCCAACACACTCCACAGTCTTGCAACTTTTATCACTTTGATGAATGTACTCTGTCTATGGTTACTGCCAGATTTTACTGCGGACACATGTTGAAGAGGTCCCAAACTCATGCCATAGCAGTTTCTTCTTCTCTTTTTCCCTGTGGCCACAGATGATGGGAGTTGTAGTCCAGCATAAGCGGAAGAAATAGAAGAGGGAGGTGTGCCTCTCCCCACCTCCATATTTTGCTAATAATGTAGAGGAGGAATAAGTCAAAAGGAGCAAATGAGAAGGTGGTACTTAAGGATTGCCAGTTACCTACCTCCAGTGCTTCCCCCGCCCCCCAGCCCCAAAGGTGTGGGAATCCACCTCTCTGAGAAGACCCATCCCAGAGCCCATCTTTGGGCTAGGGGTATGTCTCCTCAAGAGCCAGGCTCTATCATGCTCTGTTTGCAGTGCTGCCGCAGCTGGCTTTGCATGGACTGTCTTCCTCTTTTCCCCAAGAGGCAGCTGTGGTGGAGGCAGGGGGAGAGGGAAATGTTTCTTTGCCCACATGCCTGATCTCCCCCGCTACTCATACAATCTCAGGCTCTGTAGTGCTTGCCTGTCTTCGCCTTTCCTCCTGATGCATTTGGTCTCCCCAAGAGGAAAGGTGTGGTGAGCCTCCTCATAGGAAAGCAGGTCCAGCCCAGACACGTGTGGGCGAAGGAGCAGCCTGCTTCCCACCCCCATGACCTCTCTCCATACCATGGAGATCACATGTGGTGGAAGCCATCGAGTTTGGGCTACTCCTTCGCTCATGATCTCCACCCCCATTGATCAGGAAAAGAGGTGGCCTGCCCTACTTTCTCAGGCCAGGGAGGCAGATGGTAGAGTACCGTATTTTTCGCCCCATAGGACGGACCAAGTTTTTTTGGGGGGAAATAAAGGAAAACATTTTTATTTCCCCCCCCCCGGCGCTTGTGGGGCCGGCAGCGGGGAGAAGCGCTCTTCTCCCCGCCGCCCGCCTTCAGACCAGGTCCGGGGACAGCGGGAAGACGCGCTGCGCCTCCCAGCTGTCCCCGGAGCTTGCGGGGCAGGCAGCGGGGAGAAGCGCTCTTCTTCTCCCCGCCCCCCGCCTTCAGACCAGGTCCGGGGACAGCGGGAAGATGCGCTGCGCCTCCCCCTGTCCCCAGAGCTTGCGGGGCTGGCGGTGGGGTCTCCCCGCCGTCAGCCTCCAAACCACTTCGGGAGACAGCGGGATGGCGGCGTTCCGCCTCCCTCTGTCCCCCGACCTTGTGGGGCTGGTGCTGGGGCTCTCCTGAAGCCTGGAGAGTGAGAGGGGTCGGTGCGCACCGACCCCTCTCGCTCTCCAGGCTTCAGCGAAAGCCTGCATTCGCCCCATAGGACGCACACACATTTCCCCCTCATTTTTGGAGGGGGAAAAGTGCGTCCTCTAGAGCGAAAAATACGGTACCTTCTCAGGCTTCCCCTGCCTGCCTGTTTTGCTGAAAATCCTCAGCAAAGCCCTAGGAGACCCTCTCTGAAAGGTGCCAGGACACCATTCCAGCTGGGGGGAAAAGCCCTGCCTACTTCACAGATTTTAAGGTATGAACAGGCCAATTGACAGAGCTACTAAGTTTTCATGGGAAGTTTCGCTGGATGCAAATGCTGTCTTAAGTTATTTGGTGAAGTATCTGTAATGCACCACCTAGAGCTCCTTGGAGGAAAAGTGGGAAATAAATGCATTAAGCAAATTAAATAAATAACCCTGTTTGACATACTTATGACAATCGCAATGAGCACTTTTATAACTTGACTCATTCGGCTGTATCTCTCTTTGGTAACAGGTCCCGTTGGAAGAAGGCTTAAATAAAGCAATTCATTACTTTCGCAAAGAATTGGAATATCAAGCAAATAATCAATATATTCCTAAACCAAAACCTGCCAGGATAAAAAAAGGAAGAACCAGACATAACTAAAAACTCTTTAAGTTGGAAAGGAATTGAAAACCTTTCCTTGTGTTTGAAAGGTGTAATTTGTCTTTTGTTAAAAAGACTTCCGAAACAGGTATCATGAAGAAAAACTGGAAATTTCACTCTGAAGCTTGCTTTAAAGAAGTGGATGTGCCTAAATAAGAAAACTGCAATCTTTGCCTTGCACTTTTTAAATCTGTCTTTTTATGTAAAATAGGATAGAAGCATCCTTTTTTTAGTATCTTCAAGTTTTTATATCTTGCTGTGAGATCATTTTGTTGTGACTGTCCTTGACAGTTTTATTTACTGGTTTCTTTGTGAAGCTGCAGATGGGATGGGAAAATGCCAATTTATTTATAAAAAGTGGGTACTTTAAATGAGAGATACTATGCATAAAGAAAAAAAGAGCAAGCAGTATTGCCAGATGATTGAAAACACTGGCATCTAGTATTATAGGATTATAATAAAAAGAATTCTGTATGAGAGCTTTATGTATTCTTTTGAAATTGGGTTTTCTCCCCCCCAAATGTTTAGTTCTAGTTGCACACTTGAATTTGAAAATATTTTCACTGACTTTCATGGATAAATGCTATTTTAAATCACTACTGTGTTGTGCACAATCTGGGGGGAAAGTTAATGTATTATTGGTTACCAGTGGTTGAATATGCTATTTTAATAAAATATTGAAACTTATAAACATTAGTTTTTCATGTAAGAACGCTGCAGCCATGTGTTGCGCCTTCATGCATATTGACAGAGTTACAGAAAACTTACATTGGTGGTCTCTTTCTTTCAGTAACTGGTCCTCTTGAGTAGTAACAGTGTATAAGTTTGTAAGCAATTCTTTTCATAAAGTACAACCTAGTCAAAGATAATTTCATGATCTTAAATGAGTTAAGTAGGCACTTATGGTTTATATAGCCTAGGCCCTAGTCCATTTTTTTCTCCACTGTAGCAAACACAGAGGAAACTACATTGCAGCACTAATTAACACATTCACACCACTTGTTCATATTCCCCTAATTTAATTATAAAGCAGAGTCCCTACATGAACAGTATCGTACTGTTTTATTTAAAGTAGTAGAACATTACTATAACAGTATAATGATGGCACCCATGCTAACTTGGAAGATTGAAGACAAACTATTTTGAGGGCCACCAACTTGGACATCTTTAAAAACAGGATTTGACAAAGTCATGGAAGATAGTCCTACCAGTTGCTGGAAACCACAAGAGGGGAGAGTGTTGTTGTGCTCAAGTTCCCTTTGCGGGTGCGCCATAGTCATCTGGGGGGTTGGTCACTGTGAGAAGAGGATGCTGGATGGCCTGATCCAACAGGCTCTTAAGTTATTGTTGCAACCCTGTAAGCAATTGTTTCTGCCAGTATATGAATGTTTAGAGTCTGATTATCAATTCACACTTTTGGGGGGGCCGCATTGATGTTACCAAAGCCATATACCACTTGCTGTCCTTCAAGATAACTGAAATCTCATAAGGTAACCATGCTGTCTTACAATAATTTCACCAAAAATACTGGGAAGAATACTTATCAAGAAATTTTAATGCTAACGTTTATACATGTTATGCTACTGAGTGGATATAAAAACATTCCATAACTTTTTTTTTTGTTATTAATGTTTATAACAAACTTAGTTAATTTCAAAGAAGCGTAAGAGGCACCTTTGGGCGGTATCCGTCTTCCTGGCGTTCTAATCCAGAGAAGGAAAGATGAGATTAATAATCGTCATAATTGACACTTGCTCCATGCCTAAAGGTATGTGGGTTTCGTGGGCCAATAGGTGCGTCTTCATCATAATGGTGATGGTAATAACCACCGTAATATTCATGGCCACTACGGCCTAGGTTTGACCAGTAGGAGACATCGTCTTCAAATTTCTGCATACCAGAAAAAAAAATAAGTGGTAGCAATTAGCTACTAGCTGCAACTTCGCCATACAAAGGGTTTGTAAATAGTAAACAACTTCCTGTATTGCATTGGAAGGTTTCTCTTTTATTCATACAGTTACCCAAATCAACTTATGCATGCAATTCTTTTATATGCAGTGGCAGAATAATATTTTTTTTGTTACGGGTCTGAGAAGAAACAAAGCAAAGCTTTAGATTAAAAAAAGCAAACCATTAAAAATGATTTGAAGCCTGCGCAGTATTTAAAAAGTTGATTAGAAGCCTGCACAATCTTTCACATTTGAAAACATAACCCACAGCCTGATCATGCTGATAGCTCGGTCAGTAAGAGCATGAAACCCTTAGTCTCGGTCATGGGTTCGAGCCCCATGGGGAAAATATTCCTGTATTGGAGGGGGCCAGGGAGGAGCTGCCTCGCGGAGAGTCTTGGGCTGCAGAGATTTCCCGTTCAGGAGCGCGGGAGGCCACGCCGTGGATGGGAATCTCCTCCTCCTCTTCCTCCTCCTCCTCCAGGAGAGAGGGTGGTCCGTCCCACCGAGTCGGGCCTGCTCAAGCGTGGGAGCCTATAGTTAGAGCTCAGCTCCTTTTCTTGCCTTCCCCGCCCCCCCCCCCCACGGAGCACATTTTCCTCGCCCCCCCCAACCCCCGCATGTAGAATAGAAGCCCTCCAGCCTCCACGGTGCACAAACTCTCCCCTCTGCAACGAAGCGCTTTGTTGCATATCTTTGGTGAGGTTTTTAGGCAGTCTTGGTGCACCTTAAATCAGCGCTAATTGCGCCTGGACGCAGTATTTACTTCCGAGTAGGCCCCCTTCTCTCCCCCCCCCGTAGCACCTGACGTTGCTATTCGTATCATCAGGTTTGTTTGTTGATAATTTAATTGTTTTAAAAGCATCATGCTAAAGAGCTCTCTCCCACCCCCAGACCCTTGGGCAAAACAGAAACACACACATACACAAACACAGAGATTGAGCCCTGCAGGTTTTATGAAATGAATGGATTCTGAATGCCTGTTTCAGTGGCTTGTCCGCCTTAGGCTGCTGGGCCAGACACCTGTTACACGGTGCAGTCCGTAAGCTGTGAGCGCTGCTACCTGCCGCCGAGACCACGTAACGACAGTCTTGAAAGACCTACATTGGCTCCCAGTACCTTTCCGAGCACAATTCAAAGTGTTGGTGCTGACCTTTAAAGCCCTAAGCGGTTTCGGTCCAGTATACCTGAAGTAGCGTCTCCGCCACCATCGTTCAGCCCAGACACTGAGATCCAGTGCCAAGGGCCTTCTGGCAATTCCCTCACTGTGAAAAGTGAGGTTACAGGGAACCAGGCAGAGGGCCTTCTCGGTAGTGGCGCCCGCCCTGTGGAATGCCCTCCCATCAGACATCAAAGAGATAACCATTACCTTCTATGCTGTTACTATTTTTTATTTTTTTTTACATAAGTAAAAAGTGACCTTTCCCCATCTGGCATGGTGGTGTGCCTCGAGATTTTTTTCATGAAACAAGTGTGCCTTTGCCCAAAAAAGGTTGGGAAACACTGGACTAGATGACTCTCGGGTCTCTCCCAACTCTACAATTCTATGAGCCTATGCTTATCCAGCATCACGTGTGTTGAGGACTCATTTTCACTGCTCTAGACTGACACCCATTTTGCACAATATTCACATTAAATTAAAAACCTCCATGTTTTTAAGAACTTTGTACTAATTTAAAATTCCTAGACATGAAGAGTGAGTATAGGCTGTTTTCAGCAATTTACCTAGCTCAGAGAGGTTTCAAAACTTTAGTTTCACATATTAACTTGAACTCTGAAATTCTATAAAATCAACTCTACTTCAAATTCTGACCAAACCCTCAAAATGTTTGCTGTATATTTAATCATTTCTTATTACAGTAGTACCTCATTTCACTGCTCTTAGCCTATGATGATGCTATATCACTCCAAAGAAAACAATCTCATTAATGTTTATGTTCATGAAAGGATGCCAGTTTTGTTTGTTTGTAATCCAAATTATGATATCTTTAAATAAAGCACAATGTGCCTTGTTACTTATGAAGAAAAGCAATAATTAATATTATTGGGCCTTTTTATCTGCCCAGGTTTATGAATACTTTTGATTCACAATTATTTAAAAAGAGATTTAAAGGTAAGTAAATTATATAGTAGTTTACATTTTTGTAGTTTTCCTAGCCTCAATATTTAAGCTACTATCTCTCCAGTCTAGCAAAACCACACAACAGCCATGAAACTCAATAAATTTTCCTTTGGCATATTCAGGTGCTACAATACATTCAGGTAATACATTGCTGCATTTTAATATGTGGTACCAAATTGCTGTATAAATCCCCAGAGCAAAATCTGTATTAAGTTTTGTTCCACACAATATTTAGAAGAACACTAACCAAAAGTTTCCCTTTATTGTTACATTTTCTTTTTAAAAGGTGGGAATTGCCAATGCTACTAAAGATAGCATTGAGCAGTGCAAAAGTTGTATCTTTTACTTCCTCATTTGTGTATCTACAAAGTTGTAAAATTGTTGCTTTCCTTGAGATAATTGGCCACAAGATTGCCAGTCTTATGTCTGTGATGCTGTCAGTTGTCTTCTACATTAAAGTCATTGGGTCAACTGCTGTTTCCCTTAAAAGGAGGAAAACACACTGACCTGCCCTTCTCTGACAGTTATTAGGTGTTGTGTGTTCAAAATCAGAAATTTGACATCTTAGATGGACGATGGGCAGTAGGCACCTGGAGTCTCAAAGCACTTTTTAACCCGCATTAAACTATTTGCAAGCAGTGCAGGGTGATGTCATATGACTGACAGGTGAGTAGTGCCATCCGTCCGTCCAATCTGACTCATGAAGAGTAAGGAAGATGACGATCTGGCCAGTGGCCCAGATCAGGTTTCCTAGTTCTGTTCTAAGAGCTGGGGTGGATTATCCCATTCCTGCTTCAATGAACTTCAGATAATCAGACCCAAGTTAAGCACTAAAAAACTCCCCTTTCCAGACCATGCCTGCTTCTATCTGAAAGGAAAATACTCTAAACCCCGTTTCACGCGAAGACGACGAAAACAATAAAAAAGTAAGTTAATTGACATAACAATTGGAGGGGGCTTCAGTGAGTTGCCTTCTCGGATGTTCCAAAACAGAAAACGTTGCCACTTACTGCTTCATCAAAGCCTAAGTAGAGAAATTGCTGATACCACTGCTGTACATCTGGTTGACTCCTATCCCACAGCTGCCGCTTCTGACGTTTCAAGCTGCTCAAAAACTCCTTGGCCTTATCTTCTTTGACAGACACATCTGCCTTAACCGGAACAGGAGCTGAAATGCAAGAGACAGCAAACACAAGAACGGTTTAACCTAAAGGTTGCTTACTCTAGATAACGTCACTTGTCGCAAGCAGGGATCAATTACATGTTTTGGATTGACAGGTGGAAGGGGCTGGTAGGAGTTGGGGTTCCAAACACCTGAAGGGTCTATACTCTATAGGTTCCTCAGCCCTGCTCTTAAGTACCCTTCAATGCTTATAACAGGGGTCAGCACACTTTTTCAGCAGGGGGCCGGTCCACTGTCCCTCAGACCTTGCGGGGGCTGGACTATATTTTGGGAGGGGGAGAACGAATTCCTATGCCCCACAAATAACCCAGAGATGCATTTTAAATAAAAGCACACATTCTACTCATGTAAAAACACCATGCAGGCCCCACAAATAACCCAGAGAAGCATTTTAAATAAAAGCACACATTCTACTCATGTAAAAACATGCTGATTCCCGGACTGTCCACAGGCGATTGGGCCGGATCCGGCCCCCCGGGCCTTAGTTTGCCTACCCATGGCTTCTAAACAACAATAAAACACATAATCCATTCTGAAGATCAAAATGTATAAAACCTTTGCATGTGGATCTGTTACGCAACTTTGCATGCTAAATTCTGTGTTGCTTTGTGTGACAAGCACATATACTGTATATCAAACATAACATGAGAACAGGTAGTTACAGGTAGGTAGCCGTGTTGGTCTGCCGTAGTCAAAACAAAATAAAAAAAATTCCTTCCAGTAGCACCTTAGAGACCAGCTAAGTTTGTTATTGGTATGAGCTTTCGTGTGCATGAAGAAGTGTGCATGCACACGAAAGCTCATACCAATAACAAACTTAGTTGGTCTCTAAGGGGCTACTGGAAGGAATTTTTTTATTTTGTTATGAGAACAAGTATTCTGTGATACTGGACAATTGCGGTGAAGTATCCCTGGGTATTGTACTGGCATATGAAGGATGACCCCAGACAAGGGGCTAGAACTACATGTTCTGTCTCCCTCTGATTTCTTGCAACAGTGGTCATCACAGCCTGCAAAAATTAGATTGAAGGGTGCATTTGACTTTCACTGACCTGGTCTTTCCCACAGTCCCTAATGGGACAGTTGCACAAGGGGAAAGACAGGTGGGAAATGAAGTGAACCTCTTTTTACAAGCTTGAAAATTTCTCCCACTTGCCACCTTCTGAAACAGACCCAAGATGGCGCTGGTTTGAGTTAGCTGCTGTTTTTCTGGCAAGTAACAGCTGAGGCAGAAATAGCCATGAGTTGGAGACATAAAACTTACCTTCCCGTCTTTGGAGCATCAGCTTAAGTTTATTTCCTCTTGATACACCTAAAGGAATCCAAAATCGAAATAAATCAGGACTGAAAGAATTAACAAGGTTTCCTGCAAAGCACTGCTCTCTTAATATGAGTTGTGAATGTATTTGAGAAAGTTGAGCCTGCAGAAAACAAGATACTTCTGTCGCCAAATGAAGGTCATTCTCTCCCCCCCCCCCCGTGCTTACTTGCAATAGTAAAGGTAAAGGTAAAGGGACCCCTGACCATTAGGTCCAGTCATGGCCGACTCTGGGGTTGTGGCGCTCATCTCGCTTTACTGGCCGAGGGAGCCGGCGTACAGCTTCCGGGTCATGTGGCCAGCATGACTAAGCCGCTTCTGGTGAACCAGAGCAGCGCACGGAAACGCCATTTACCTTCCCTATTTATCTACTTGCACTCTGATGTGCTTTTGAACTGCTAGGTTGGCAGGAGCAGGGACCGAGCAACAGGAGCTCACCCCGTCGCGGGGATTCAAACCGCCGACCTTCTGATCAGCAAGTCCTAGGCTCTGTGGTTTAACCCACAGTGCCACCCGCATCCCACTTGCAATAGTAAATTGTAGAAATTTGCCTGTCTGTAGCCCCACCCCAATCTAAGGAACTAAGGGCTCTCATTCCAGACAAGTGTAATGTTAGAAGTTGGCACCTAAAACCCGATTAGAGAACTGAGGCAAGGCTAGCCAACCTGGTACCCTTCAGATGTTGTTTGTGTACAACTCCCATCATTTCCAACTGCTGCCCTTACTAGCTGGGGCAAATGGGAGCTGGAATCCAACCACATCTGGGGGGCAGCCCCTTGGCTAACCCTCGTCTAAGGAATGGAGCATAATGAACTTGGTTGGTAACTGTCAATCTGCAGAGATTGCTGTATGCTCAGCTATGCCTTTGAAACAGACATGTCAAACATAAAGTCCCCAATTGTGGGGGTGGGATGGAAGCTTTTGTGACATAGAATCATATAATTATAGAGTTGGAAGGGACCCTGAGGATCCTCTAGTCCAAACCCCCGCAATGCAAGAATATGGAGCTGCCCCATACGGGGATCAAACGTGCAAACTTGGCACCATATATACGACGTGGCGATATTGGCGCTATCGTCAGGGTTATAAAGGGGATACCTTCTGGAAAAAGCGAAGAGACTGTCCTGGGCTGGGAGTGAAAAACATGATTGCTTCCACAGCTGGCTGTTTAGGCAAGGGAACACAGCCTCTTTCCTCCAGCAAAGCAAATCCACATTATATGCATCACATCTGAAGTAGACCACTTTGCAGAGCTGTGCACATGCATGCGCACACATTTAATAATACGGAGCATCATTAACAGCAGTGGTGGAATGGGCTTTGTTTTGTTTTGGAGTGTGTGTCTGGGCATCTGGGATGCAAAGCCCAGCCCTCGTTTTTATGAGCAGGGGGACCTAAGATCAGGAGTTTCCTACTTCCCAGCTCCAACCAGAGCCTTGGGGAATTTTGGCGGGAAGACGACGAAGAAGGGGCTGCCGCCTCGCTCAGCCTCAGCCTGCGCCTCCTTGCCTGGGGGGGGGGCATCATCCTGCGTGCCCGCCGCCCTCTCCCCACACCTTCCCCAAGCCCCACATCTCCCGAGTGTGGGGCAGAGCCCCTTTGCAGCGCGCGGGGCTGACTCACCGGGACTCAGGCACACGAGGAGGAGGACCAGCGCGAGCGCAGCCCACGAGAGCGCCCGCCGCCCGGGCACCATTTTGGCGGGAATCTCCGTCCGGCCGAGTTTTCGCCTGGAGCTGCTCTCTCCCTTCGCCTGCGGGGAGAAAAGCGAGAGGCGGCTGATGCTCTGGACGCGGGGAGGAGCCGAGGGGAGGGAAGGAGGGGGCGCGCGAAGCAGTGGGCAGGGCGAGCTGGGGGCCCCCCTGGTTGCGCATGGACGTTGCCCAGCGTCCGTAGAGGAAGTGGGGGGAAAGAAACGCTCGGCGGGGTGTGTGTGTGTGTGTGTGTGTGTGTGTGTGTGTGTGTGTGTGTGTGTGTGAGAGAGAGAGAGAGAGAGAGAGAGAGAGAGATGGGGATTTCTGAAGCCGCAAAGCGGCAGCTGGCGCGCTTCCCACATTCCAGATGTTCGCTTCGGGGCCACCTGCTCATTGAGCCTCCGTGGCGTTTGCATAAAGGTGGTGCGACGCCTGCTGCTTATTGAGCATGTATGCTGGGGTTGTTATCATAGGAGCCAACTCCTTGGGGACCGAGGTCCCTTCGCCCCCCCCCCCTAAGATATTTGAGGCGGCTTGTCTCCGACCCCAAGATGATGGACACTGCCATTCAAATCATAATAATAAAGGTAAAGGACCCCTGGGCGGTTAAGTCCAGTCAAAGGCAACTATGGGGTTGTGGGGCTCATCTTGCTTTTGGTCCAAGGGAGCTGGCGTTTGTCCACAGACAGCTTTCCAGGTCATGTGGCCAGTAGGACTAAATCGCGTCTGGCACAACAGAACACCATGATGGAAACCAGAGCGCATGGAAACACAGTTTACCTTCCCGCTGCAGCGGTACCTATTTATCTACTTACACTGGCATGCTTTCAGACTGCTAGGAGCTGGGACAGAGCAACGGGAGTTCACCCCGTCACAGGGATTCGAACCGCCAACCTTCTGATCTGCAAGCCCAAGAGACTCAGTGGTTTGACCACAGCGCCACCTGCATCCATTCAAATAGTGTGCAGTGCACCACATCATGTGATGGAATATGCAAGGCAGGGCTTACCTGCCCCCCCCCCAATAAATATTGTTTACAAGTTGGCATCCCTGGTTTATTATTGAGGTGGTATATTAAAAACGCTGTCAAAATGCTTTTTGTAAAAAAGCGTTTTGAAAAACACATTGAATTTGGCATAGCTCACTGTCGCCATCCAGTGTCACATTTGCATATTGCACTTTACAACACATTTGAGACGTTAGTTTGCAGCCGAGTCCTGTCAGTTCCAGCAATTGTCCGCCCACACTTTTCAGTGTATGTAGCCCACACTTTCCATAATGCAAAATAAATATGAGTTTGGGTGGGGGTAGGCGAAATGCCTGGGCCCCCTTTTAATTCATGGAATAACTAGCTTCCTGGTGAGATGATAGCAGCGCCAGCTTTAGGACGCTGCAGGCACTTACCCCGCACAGGGCATCAACACAGGGCACCATCATTCTGCCTGGACACTGAGGTCCAGCTCCGAGGGCCTTCTGGCGGTTCCATCACAGCGAGAAGCCAAGTTACAGGGAACCAGGCAGAGGGCCTTCTCAATAATGGCGCCCACCCTGTGGAACACCCTCCCATCAGATATCAAAGAGATATCTGACATTTAGAAGACATCTGAAGGCAGCCCTGTTTAGGGAAGTTTTTAATGACAAGTGTTTTAATGTATTTTTTAATCTTTTTTTTTGGAAGCTGCCCAGAGTGGCTGGGGAAACCCAGCCAGATTTGGGGTGTGTGTGTTAAATAATAAATTCTTCTTCTCTTCTTCAGGGGTGCATTATAATCATAATTATATTTATACAGGTACCTACTGAAAAGATCCATAAAAGCAACTGTACCAAAAGGAATTATTGTGAAAATAAATAATATGGGGGGGGACGACTAAATTTTGTCCTCACTCAGGACACCATATTACCAAAGTTCACCCCTGGTGATAGGCTACTCAGGGAACAAAGAAAGTGGCTCTGTGCCTGGTGAGAAATGGGTGGGCCCTCTCTCGCCGGGAGTTAGAAAGAGAAAGGCCAGAGTTGAGAGTTCGGTTAGGTGAGCTAAGAAAAGAGCCACAGCTCAATGGTAGAACATCTGCTTGTCTTGTTGAAGTTCCTGGGCTCAATTCTCCAGGTACGTCTGGGAGCAGCGGCGTAGCGTGGGTTGTCAGCACCCGGGGCAAGGCAAGTAATTTGCGCCCCCTAACCCCTAACCTGCCCCCTAACCCCTAACCGCTGCCAGCTTCTTCTTGCTGCTGCCTGGGCTGGGGTATTTACGGTAAGGTAGCCACGGGGCGGCGGGTCCGTGTCAGGTGATCTGAGGCGAGTTGCCGCTGGCGCTGCCGCCCAAACAACGCCGCTTGCCTGGAGGAGGAAGGCAGAGAGGCGAGGAAAATGCAACATGGCCCAGCAGCTGCAGCAGCAGCAGCAGCGGCGGCGGGGCTGTGAGGAGGGGCTGCCTGGCGCGCCCTCCGCGGCCCTGACGCGCGGGGACCGGGGCAAGCGCTGAGAGCCGCTGCCAGCTCGTCAGTTCCGTGAGACATGGGGCTCTGCTACAGCCTGCCCCCGAGGCTCTTCGGCGACTCCGGAGGCGGCGAGCGTGCCCCCCCCAGATGTTGCGCCCGGTGTGGCCAGCCCCCCCTGCACCCCCCACGCTACGCCACTGTCTGGGAGAGAACTCTGTCTGAAATGCTGGAGAGCTACTGCCAGTAGACAATACTTCGCTAGATGGACCAATGGTCTGGCTCAGTATAAGGCAGCTTCCTAGACACTGCGATCTGTTCCGCACATCATGCTAAGCCAAAACATGACTTGGCATGAATAAGCAGACTCTGGGAGAGGAGATCGCAACCGCTTTGCTTAGCATGGTGTTTTTGCTGCTGCGTATAGTTTGGCTTAGTGCCTTGTCCAAGCCTGGGCTTGTGGTTTGGCACTCTCTAGACAAACCAAAAACTAATCAAGGTTTTGTCCTGTGGTTCGTGGCTCGTGGTTTGTCTGGGGGAGCGAAACGGCTGAGATAAACTGCGTCTGGGCAAGAAACTAAGCCGAACTATGGCTTAGCTCAGCACAGCACAGCAGCAAAATGAAGAGAAAGGCCACAGCCCTCTTTCTGGGAGCCCTCATACTAATGCTAAGACACAGAGTTTGGAAAGCTCTGTATTTGATTTATATACAGTGGTACTTCGGGTTAAGTACTTAATTCATTCCGGAGGTCCGTTCTTAACCTGAAACTGTTCTTAACCTGAAGCACCACTTTAGCTAATGGAACCTCCCACTGCCGCCACGCTGCTGCTGCGCGATTTCTGTTCTCATCCTGAAGCAAAGTTCTTAACCCGAGGTACTATTTCTGGGTTAGCGGAGTCTGTAACCTGAAGCGTATGTAACCCGAGGTACCATTGTACTACCCTTCATCAAAAGATTTCAGGGCAGTTCACAAGATAAAAACCTGAGATAAAAGCACAAATAAATTGCTTAAAATAGACACAACAAAACAATCAGTGCATATGTATGTATGTGTATGCATTCATAACCCACAAAGGAGAAATATGTTGGCTGCATAGTGCATCAAACTGACTACATGCAGGGGCCTGGACAATGTCTGAGTTTTCAATTTACTTGTATTTGTTTAGGTATGGTGGACTGTTAAGGCATCAGTGCCATTCTGGAAATAAAAGATAACTCGGCAGGTTTGTTAAACATCTCCACTCAACAAGAAATCGAGTTCTGAACAGAAAAGCAGGCATTCAGGGCAGGGTAGGAACACATCATTTCTTTCAAAGGTTCGCATAATGCCAGGCCTATAATAAAACCACCAGTCACCAGGGTTGCCCCAAATAAAAATAAACACATTTTGCCAGAAGCCTTAATAAGAGAAAACACTTTCAGTTTTGTGAAGCCCAGTAAGGAATTTTCAATGTCCACAAGGGGCCAGAACCTCTAATTGCATAGTACATAGTGTCTGACATTCTGCTGCTATTAATTTCTTCTAATGAGCGCTGATATATTACCTTAATTGAACTGAGTAGGTTGCAACTTAAATGCACTTGGCATGGCAAATTGGTTTCTAAAGTTAGTTCCAAGAAAACTACAGGAGTCATGAGTTTCTTCCAAATAACAAGAGCATTAAGCTCATCAGTCAAGGCCTCCCAAAGTATTTTGACTCTCATCACTGTGTACTGCAGTTTGCATTTTTGCTGATGCTGAATGGAGGAGGCTAACACTTGACCTTAGGAGAGAAATTACATCTAAACAAGCAATTTGCATCTGTATCTTAATAACGTTCCAGATGTCTGAGCTCAAGCATGTCTGTCTGCCTATTTACATGTCTTGAACTGTTTAACTGGCATAAGCAGGAGAGGTACTGTCAGGATTCTTAGAGGGAGCTTAAAAGACAGGCTGTGCTAAGGTAATTTGATCTTTCACCTGGGAAAGCTCCCCAACTATTCTTAGAACAATACTGAGGATAAGGCTCCAGGCTCTTCAAGTATCCCTGTTTTCCAGGCATAGTCCAGGATTTACAGAAGCCATCCCGGTTTCTGATTTGATCCCAGAATGTCCCACTTTTCTTTTCCTATTTTCATCGGAGAAATGTTGGACGGTATGGAGTTATGTGGCCCCTAGTCAAGGAGATAAGTAACTATACAACCTTTAGAAGACATCTGATGGCAGCCCTGTATAAAAGTAAAGGGACCCCTGACCATTAGGTCCAGTCGTGGCTGACTCTGGGGTTGCAGAGCTCATCTCGCTTTATTGGCTGAGGGAACCGGCATACAGCTTCCGGGTCATGTGGCCAGCATGACTAAGCCACTTCTGGTGAACCAGAGCAGCGCACGGAAACGCTGTTTACCTTCCCGCCGGAGTGGTACCTGTTTATCTACTTGCACTTTGACGTGCTTTGGAACTGCTAGGTTGGCAGGAGCAGGGACCGAGCAACGAGAGCTCACCCCATCGCGGGGATTCGAACCGCCGACCTTCTGATTGGCAAGTCCTAGGCTCTGTGGTTTAACCCACAGCACCACCCACGTCCAAGCCCTGTATGGGGAAATTTTTAAATGTTTTATTATGTTTTTATGTGTGTTGGAAGCTG